CTTCCCCTCCACTGTCTCATGTGCAGGGTCCCTGCTGTCACTGCTCACTGATCAGAGCTGACTGCTGGAGGTCACCAGGTCTAGAAGTTTCCTGCAGGGCCACTGGAAGCTGCCACACTCTTGGCATCCACTGCCTCTCACGCTGGGGGAGGGACAGTCGTCTCCTTCACCATCACCCCTCCGTGGGACTCAGCAGGACAGGGCCAACAGCAGCATGTGTGTGCCTGGCCCAGCGAGCACAGGAGCTACGGGGTCCCAGGCTTTGTTGATGCATCTATGTGTCCGGTGTCCCTCTGTCTGTCTCATGGCTGCAGGCAAGTGCACCTGTTGGCAGAACCCAAGTCACCAGGAACCCTCTGGGCAGCAGAGGACCCTGGCCATGTGTCGGCAGCTTTCTCATCTGTGCAGTCTGGGGAGGGGCCCAGCAGAGGTGGAACAGATCTGGCCAGCCAGGCTTCAATCCCCATGCTGCTCTAAGCTTCCAGGAGACTGGGCGGGGCAAGGGGGCATGGAAGCCTCCTGTCCTCTGTCACTGTCCTGTGGCCACTATGACAGGCACATCCTGGGTATATGTGTGAGGATCCTTGGAAGATGGCCCTGGGCAGTCATGCTGTGCAGGAGTCTTTGCCAAGGCCAAGGAAACAATCAGGACCAGTGTGTGCTCTTATCAGAGTCTGAGGTTCAAACTTGGCTCTGTTGTGTCCGCCTTTGGAGACTGCCATGGGCTTCCTGCAGGAGGGGCTGGCAGCAGGAGGAAGAATAAACTGAATCTTAGTGCCCATATTGGCTCCTTGTTTAACTAGGAAGTGAGGCAGACAGGAGATAAGGGTGCCCACAGGGCCCAGTGTGCGGAGAAGAATTGGGAGCTTCCTGGGTAGTGCTGGAGCTGGGGCAGGGGCTGGTGTTTGGGAACCAGAGTCCACACCGTCCTGCATACCAGGCTGGTGTCCAGCTTTCCCTTGCTCTCTGCTGCACAAGTTGTGGGATGACACAGGGCGGGGCTGCCATCCAGGCTGGGGAGCTCCTGCTGCAAGGCCCATGTATGGGGCAGCCCCATCTCCCTGTCTTGGGTGTCCACGTGGCCAGGGCAGCCACTGTGCCCCCACCCCCTCCTGCCAACCGTCCTCGTCTTGAGTGGCTGAGGGGAACTGGTGGGGTTATTACAGGACACTGCAGCTCCAGGGCAAGAACAGAGGAGGCCCAGCTGTCAGCTGGAACCCATCAGAGGCCAGCCAGACATTGGCACTGGGCAGAGTAGGAGGGCGGCTCACAAGGTGGTGCCCTGGGAACTGTGATTTTCGGGCCGTTTCTTAACCCTCCCCAGCCTGACGCAGGCAGGTCCCACAGGCTCCCAGGTCTTACCATCCAGGTCAGGTGTCAGGTGGGGCTGACTTTGTGGAGAGACCGGGGGTCAAGGAGCCCCTAGTGTGAGAGGGGAGAGCCGGCTGCCACAGGCCATGGGGGTCCCCTGGCCCTGTTGCAAGGCTGAGCTAATCTTATGAGAAAATGCAGCTCCCTGGTCTTGGGGACATGGTCCCATCCTTGGGGAGCCAACACACCCCGGACCACAGGAGGCTCTGGGTCAGAGATGAGGGTGGTCTTGTCCCATAGTAAAACCATCTGGTTAAATTATCAGATCCAGGCATCACGTTTGAGAGATGGGGCTTTGGTGACCTAGGCAGTGAGGTGTTTCAATTTAGAGAACCCAGTAGAGCAGGAAATCAGCAAGATGAAGCATCCACAGCCCCGAGGCACCCGTCCATGCAGTGTCCTGCAGAGCAGGCGAGTGACTATCCAGAAATGAAGAGAGAAATTGCTAGGAAAAAAGAAAAGCTGCTGTCTTTACTAAAAGATATATATGTTGATTTCCAAGATCCTGTTTCATCCCAGATGGTAAATGATGCTGTAACCCAGCAAGAGACAAAGGAATTCAGATTGCCCAAAGGCCATCACTTTGGTATGGACATTAAGAACATTCCCAAGGGCAAAATTTCCATTGTTGAGGCCACGACACTACTCAATAATCATGAACTTTATCCAGAAACATAGACTGCTGAGAAAATAGCACAAGAATGCCATTTAAAACTGGAAGGCATAAATTCTCTTTGCAAGTATTTTGTTACTTTTGAAGTCAAGATCTTTTCTCCTGAACACAAGAAAACAGTAGTATCAAAATGAAGAAAATCACAAAATTACTTTGCTTCTGTGAACATCTCATCCCTGTGTCCTGTTTGTTTCCTCATTATTAGAATATTATAGGATTTACTGAGTGTGTAATGTTGAAGGCGTACTATTTGAGAGCGTACTATTTATTGAGCTCTGTTGACTTTTCAGGTTGTTTATAGAAAGTAGTTTGTTTTTTTAAATCTTTAATTTGGCTTAGCCATAGTTCCTGTGTATATGTCAATATGACTAATTATATATACAAATTTATTATAAATGAGAGAAGTGATGTAATATTTTAATAACAGTTTAAATGTTTTTAAAAGTCACATGACTTTTGGTTCAATAGAGTAGTTCTTTTATAACAAAATGAAAAATGTCTAATGAGTATAAACTTGTATTTTAAAGCTGTAAACCACAGGCACAGTGGCATAAGTACCTGTCTGGCAGGCGCGAGGTCATGAGTTGGATCCCTGGTACCAAAAGCAAAACAAAACCTGTAAATCACTTAAAGCCATTTTGCTTTATGTAAAGATCAGTAATTGAATCACCAGTGCTGCTATTTCTGAGCCATCTACATTGTGCGGTTAGGTACCTATGAATATGGCTTCCATTACCTGGTGTCACACAAAGTAAAAAAAATTATTAGATCCCTATTATGGCACCCTTTTGAAGCTGCCTGTGATTTGGGGAGAATCCATAGTTTTGCACAGGTATCCTCTGTCGAGACCCCAGGCTCCCAGTGTCTAAGACACAGGAAGTTGTCACTAGAAGACAGTTTTGTCCTGGGCCTTCCTGGAGCCAGCACCCTCCTCAGCCGGTTGCCTCTCTGGGACCCTTTGCCACCTCCAAACTACTCAGTAAGCCACTCAGCAGCGGTGCTCAGCCCATCTTGGTGACCATGTTTCTTGGTTACTTTTCTTGTTGCTAAGACAAAATGCCTGACACTCCAGTTTAAAGGAAGACAGGTTTATTTAACTCACAGTTTGTAGAGGTTTAAATCTATGATTGGCAGGGTGGCAACACAGAGAAGAAAACGGTTATGGTGGGCAGAAGGAAGCAAAGCAACAGGGGATGGCCACAGCTCCTTCTGTTCCTTATATTTATCTAGGCTACTTAGGGCAGGTAGCATTCACACCCTTAATCCTAGTGTCCTTGAGCCTGGCATTAATCATGAATCAGTTCCAGAATCACATATTCCAGATCCAGCCACCTCGAAAAAATCCCCACTGCATGAGGCTTTGGGGGGACATCTAGACACAGGCTGTAACATCATGTGACTTATAAAACTCATGGATTTCAGGGAGTGATTAAGCTCATAAAGTGGGAAACAAAAGACAACATGTGTCTCACAGATCCTAGTGTGGATGGCCCTGATTTATATCCCACGTGGCTGGCCCTTTCCCAGCTTCCTTCCTGGACTCTTGCCAGCCAGCTCCCGGGTGACCAGGGGACTTGAAAGCTGTCAGAGGGGGCCCTTCACCTGGAGCTGGGGTCACCAAAGAGCTGGGACCTCTAGTTACTGGTCTGCATGGGGCTGGGGGGATCTCCAGTTCTCTAAGGGGAATGTGGGTGCTGGTGTCCCCAAGCTTTGTACCACAGTCATTCCACCCCTGAGGCCTCAGTTTTCAGAGGTCCTCAACACCCTGTCATGGCCACCACTGGCAGGTCATCTCTGACTGACCGGCGAGTGTCCTAGTGGGCAGCTGTGTGTTGCCCCATTTCCTTAGCCCTAGTCTTGCACTCTGTGCACAGGAAGTGGACATGCAGATGAGTGGCGTCATTTGGCCCTAGGGGATTCTGGCACAGCTGTGACCACTGTAACCAGCCCTCTGTGAGCCAGGCGTGCACTGGGCAATGGGTGATGGAGGTGAATGTTGTCCTTGCCCTGCTGCACGAGTGGGCTCTGTGGTAAGGCTCAGACTCTGGGCTAATGTTCACCTGGACACAGTGTCAGCCCTCTATGTGTTTTGCTTTCCCCCGTGCAGTGAGTACGCTGACAGCCTCACAACCTCAGCGATGAAGATTGGATGAGTCAGTAAGGGTGTGGTTGCTATAACTTTCATTTCTTGAGGAACAATTCTGTGCCAGCAACCATGGTGGCATATTATTGTAAACAGAATCCTCCCAGGGAGTGGAAGGGCAGTTCCACTTGGTGAGGACAAGGCTGTGTGTGGGGGTGTGTGCCTAGTTTTGTCTCAGAGGATGGGGTAAATGCAATAGGTAGTGCTGAGGGGCATTCCAGGCGAAAGCCACAGAAGCAAGAAGGCTGAAGATGGGGTAGGGATGGGGTGGTCAGAGGGATCAGAGCACAGAGTATCAGGGAGATCAAATTGGGAAATGGATTTTGAGGCCATCATGTGGCCTTTTTTTCATAGGCAAAGGGGGCCACAGAAGTTTTTGAGCAGGAATCCTGCAGAGAGAGGAGATGGCAATCTTCATCTCTGGTGACAACAGCCACAACAGTGATGACCTCCAGAAACTTTCCATTTGAAGGCTCTGAATGCACCAAGGAACTGAATCATTTTATTAGATGCTTCCCTAATGTCCACACCCTGTCAGGGACTCCTGCTTCATCTCAGAGTCTGAGATCTTGTGTGTGTGTACATGTGTGTTATGGTTTATGTCTAGATGTTCCCCAAAAGCTTCATACACTTTTAGACGAGGATTTTTCAGAGGTGGCCAAATCTAGAGTTTGTGATTGATTCATGATTCAGTGATAGGATTCAGGGTACTGGAATTAAGGGTGGGTGATTGCAGGTATCAGTCCATTACCCTAATCCCAGCAGTCTGCATAATATAAAGAGGCAGAAAGAGATTTGTCTCCTTCTCTCTAGTTGCTTTTGCTGTCTTCTGCCACCATGAACTGTTGTTCCTTTTCCATATGTCATCCTGCCTTGGAGTCAGCTGATTATGGACTGAAACATCTACAAACTGTGAGCTAAATAAATCTTTCCTCCTTTAACTCTGAGTGTCAGTTATTTTGCCTCAGAAACTTAAAAAAAGTAACTATAACTGAATTTGGTACCAGGAGTGGGGTTGTTGCTATGCTGTGACTCTACCAGACCAGGAGCCTTTGGGAAAGGCTTGTGGGAAGAGTTTGGAAAGATTAAGAGATGCTGGCTAAAACAGTAGAGCTGGAATACCTTAGGTTGTTCTTTATGGGCGATTCTGGTCAGAGGTTCCCAGAAGGTAGATAGAAATCCTACTGGTAAAGACCAGGTTTGGGAGGTTTCTGCTGGGAATAAGGACTTCATTGGTTGTTGGACTCTAGATGATGTGTTATGGCCTAGCAGAAAGCATGTCTGCATTTTGCTTGTGATAATAGATGCCTGAAACTGAGATTAAGTGCAGCAGATGAATTAATCTTGCAGAATAAATTTCAGGGTGGTCTAATGTTGAGGCAGTGGCATGGATCCAAATTTATGTAGAGAATCAAGAACAAAGAGGCCAGCAGAATGATTTAAAACACTGAGTTTGGGCAGAAAGCAAACTCCAGTAAAGCTGTGTATTATGAAGATAGAGCAAAGGAGATTTTGATTGCTGAGAAGGAACAGTAGAATATAAAAGATGGGGGCTGAGGATTTAGCTCAGTGGCATAAGTACCTGCCTTGCAAGCAAGTGGTCGTGAGTTCAATCCCTGGTATCGATAAAAATGAAAAAGACAAAAAAAAATAGCAAAATAAAGTCTATTTTAAAAAAAGAATATAAAAGATGGCCTGAGGACATTACAAGAAGCAGCAGGACTCTACCCTTTGTAGTCTCAAAATTACAAAAGTGAAAGATTTTCTTCGAAAAGAAAGCCTCAGTATATCCTGTTCCTGAATATTGTCAGCCACACCATGTTCCAGAATGGTGGTAGGTTAGAGAATTTGTTCCTCAGAATTGAATTCAGAGTTTCCAGCAATCCAGGCACTGGACTCCTTCAGCCAAGAGAGAGGGAAAGCCAAGCTACTGGTCCAGCTGGTGGCAGACCTTGGCATCATCCATGTGGTGCTGGTTTTAGGTGCATCTAAATGGAAGGGAAGAATGAAGGTTATAGGTTCAGAAAGATTTCCATCCAGATTTCAGAAGAAGGCCGGAGGCCAGGCAGTGTGCCCCTGAGAGGGCATTTTGTGAAGCTGTGAGTGTGAAGCCAAAGGTGTTATGGAGACCTCAGAAGGGTGAAGCCAGGAAACAGGATCATCTGAGGGAAACTGCAAAGAGGGAGCAAAGTGGGCCCAAAAGAGAAGCCACAAGAGCTACAACTACTGGACGTGCCATAGGGACAGAGCTACCCAAACTCTGGAGTTCACATCTTGTGATAGATTGCTTCGGACGCTGCACATGGAACTACATGACTTAATGTTTGTGTTGCTGGATTTTGGATTTGCTTTGGTCCCATTTCTTTGTATCTCCCTGTTTGTAACTTTTGGAGTGGAGAAGTTTATCTTGTGACACTGAATGTTGGAAGTGTTTGTATAGAGGTTCACAGCTAAGAGTCTGCCTTAAATCTCAGAGGAGACTTGGGACTTGGACTTTTCAGCAAAGCTGAAACTGTTAAGACTTTGGAGACAGGGGCTGGAGATTTAGCTCAGCGGCATAAGCACCTGCCTTGCAAGCAGGCGGTCGTGAGTTCGATCCCTGGTACCGGTAAAAAAAAAAAAAAAAAAAAAAAAAAAAAAAAAAAAAAAAGACTTTGGAGACACTTGGAGATGGACTAAATGCCTTTTGCATAAAGGAATGTACATGAGTCTTTGATGGGGGTAAGGGTGGGATGTTATGGTTTGTGTTTAAATGTCCCCCAAAGCTTCATGCACTTTTAGATGGGGCATTTTTAGTGATAGCTGAATCTAGAGTTTGTGATTGATTCATGGGTCAATGTTAATGTTAAGGGTGCTAGGATTAAGGGTGGGTGATTGCTGGGATCATTCCACTGATTGGATTGGCATCACCCTAATCCCAGAAGTCTGGCTAAAATAAAAAGGGCAGAAAGAGACCTCTCTTTCTCTCTTTCTGCTTTTTTCTGTCTTCTGCTGCCATGAACTGTTGCCCCTTTTCCATGTGCCACCCTGCCTTTATAGTCAGCTGATTATGGACTGAAACCTCTATAAACTGTGAGCTAAATAAACCTTTCATCCTTTAACCTTGGGTGTCAAGTATTTATTCTCAGCAATGAGAGAAATAACTAAGGCTGTGTTTGGTATGTGCAGTATACAAAGACTCCACCACGCCAGGTTCTGGACACACCCAGCATGCAAATGGTGTCCTCTGACCCCTGTGAATGAGGACTGGAATGCTGGTGGCTTGCGGGGTTGGGGGAGAGTTTAGACTGAGTGAGATGATGGGTGGGGGCAGGGACCCCATTAGAGGTCAATGTTCAGCAGCAGCAGATGGAGGGGTATATTAGTTAACTTTTTTCTCATTGCTGAGAATGCTCAGCACCCAGACTAAGGGGGAGAGGTTTATTTGGCTTACAGTTTGTAGAGGTTTCAGTCCACAGTCAGCTGCCTGCAGGATGACATAGCAGACAGGCATCATAGAGGAGAAAGAGTACATCATGGGAAGAAGCAAGAAGGGGACATTAGCAGCTTTTCCCCACACCTTTTATACTCTATCTATGCTACTAGGATTAGGACAGTGCCAAACCAATCAGTGGACTAATTTAATAGTCACATACCCTAGATCCAGCCACTCAGAAAAAGCCCCATCTATGACTGCCCAAAGCTTTGGGGATCATCTAGACACAAAATATAATAAGGGAACATGTGAGAGCTGGCGGAGGTGGGGGGTAGGGAGCGGCAGATGCCTGCATGCAGACCTTTAGGCCAGGTGCTGGTTGGTTGGTTGATTTATTCCCGTTTGTCCAGCACCTCCTTGTGTCAGGCTGTGTGAGTTTGAGCTTAGGACAGGAAGACAGAAAGGTCCCTGGGCTTCTTGGGGGCAGGAAGGCTGATGCTGCCTGGTTACCCCCACACTGCTGGCTTCTGGGAGGGACTGAGGCTTGCAGGATAGGAGTGTGCAGAAGAAACTCTGGGGTGGCCAGGGTTCAGGGACCCTGTCTGTGGGTGAAGAACATCATGAGAGGGCATAGAAGACAAGGTAGAGAGCAGATCCCTGGGTGCCCAAGGAAATCGTACCAAGCTCCAGGAACTCCCAAGGTTTCCAGCAAGCACTGCATGGGGCCCAGTGTGTGGCCTGGAGAATCCCCTTCCACTCAGGTGTAGGACTGGGAGGAGCCAGCGCAGATGCAGCACAGCAACCTTTTGGTGCAGAGGGTGCAGTCCAGCTCCCTTTAAAGGAAGCCCAAGTCCTGGGAAAGGCAGGCCCGTTGCCCTGGCTGGGGCCTGGCCACTGTGATGATGGCAGTGGCAGCAAGAGATGAGGAGGCTCTCTGGGCCCAGAGGGACACAGCTTGTCCTCGCTGAAGCCTGGCCTGTGGGGAGGGAAGGGGCCCTCCTAAGTTTGGCCAGCCTGGGAGCCCTGCCCAAGGTGCCCAGACAATGCAGGCTGGAGGCTGCCTGGTTGGAGGTGGCAGGGGACAGTGGTGCCCCAGCTCTGCCTTCTGGGCTCCCCGCCTGGCCCAGGCTTCTACCCAGCTTTTGGCAGCTGCCAGCTAGCCTCCCTGGGGCCCTGGAAAAGACAGAGATTGAGAAAGAGAGAGAGAGAGAGAGTCTGGGGGCCTCGGGGTGTGCATAGGAGTGTGTCTGCCTGTGAGGATCTGAGTGTTTGGGTCTGATGGTGCAAATGAGCATGCAAGTGTGCGGAATGTGACAACATACACACAGTGTGACGTGTGTGGGCATGTGTGAGGGTATGTGTGCACAGGTCCACCCCCTCCCATCAGCCCCAGGGCCAGGGTGGAAGAGGCAGTGCCATCTCTGAGGACCTCTTCCTTCTGGCAGAACTGGGGAGGACCTGGGGGCTCTGTGTGCCAGGGGAGGGAACATGAGGACCCCAGCAGGGAGCTGGGAGTAGGGGCAGCGGGCCCAGGCTCTGCTGTTCTCAGCCCTGGCCTGGCCCGGTTTCCTCCAGGACAGAGGCTCAGTCTGCACTCCAGCCAACTTCTGTTCCCTCCTTGCTTTCTCCTAAGATAATAGAAACTTGGGGGAGGGGTTCCCTGTGGCTCTGCCATTGGCTCAGGCCCCTGTCATTGCAGGCACACCCCCTGGGCCCCGGCCAACCCCAGGCCAGGGAGAGGGAGCCATTGCAGCAGCTGCACCTCCTGGCTGGCAGAGGCCTACTTTCTGAAGGGACAAGGCCTCCTAGCCGGAATGTCATCTGTGACCCGCCCTCCTGACCTTGACTCCGACCCTGTCAGGCCTTCCAGGCCTCAGCTTGAGCCACATTTATGCCAGGTTCAAATCCTGGTTCAGCCACTTTCCAGCTGGGTGACATTGGGCAGGTCAGGCAACCTCTCTGGGCCTCAGTTTCTCTATCCGTGCCGGGGACTGACAGGTGTGCTTCTATCATAGTTTTATTCTGAGGATTCCATGAGTTTAAGCTGTAAGGTCACTGGGGTTGAATGTGGATTGGACTTCGGGTTACACACTCTCCACAATGCTGGTCATCTGAGAATCCGTTCTCCCCTGGGGTCCAGCCTCAACCCCACTCCCTCCCTGGCTCTTGCTCCTACTCTGTATGCGCCCCTTTCCTCGGCCTCCAAATCCCACCCCACCACTCAGGCTGACCCCAGCCTTTCGTCATGTGGCCTGGGAACTTAGAGCCTGGCTGTGAAGGGGCCTCCAGCCCTGCCTGCATCCCCCTCCTCTCGCCGCAGCAGGGGCAGAGGTGAACACCCCAGGCTCTTCCCAGCGCCTCCCCAGGCTGGGCTGCTCCAGAGAGGAAGTGGTCACTGTGCTTGCTGGGCTGGGGACACAGGCTTTGGTTTGAGGATGGAAAGATTCGCTCATGGAAACACCCAGCTTCCGGATCCTGCGCTGCTAGCCGAGCACGCTGGGCTGGGCGAGGGCTGAGGCTTCGCTCTGCCTTGGGGGGACGGGTGGAGGGGTTATCTCTGCCACTCCCACCAAGACTGCAGGCCTGGCCACACTGGGACTCGGCCACCGCAGGCCCCAGAAGGGCCCCTGGCCCCCGCCCCCCCAGCCTCCAGCAGTCCTTCTCCCCTGTCCTTGGTCCCTCCTGTCCACAGCCTGCCTTCTCAGCCACAGAATTCCCCTGATCAACATGTCCTAAACATGTCACCGCGACCCACCCTGTGTTCTCCTGGGCCTGGCACTGGGGATAGAGATGGAAAAGGCCCAGCTGGTCCTGGTCACCTAGCCCACGACTGGAGTGCACACCTCAAGGAAAAGCCTCCCTCTTGCCTGCTGAGCCCCTGTGGTAGTGAGTGACCTGGCCCAGCTCCCCTGTGACAGCATCAGAGAGGCTGCTGCAGTCCCCAGGCAGAGCGGTCTCTTCACAGCCCACGTCTTGCCAGTCTCCTGCCGGCCCTGGGAAACGGCTGCTTCCTCCACATGAGAGGTCCCGAGACCTGAGAAGGGGGTTCAGGCAGAGAAACAGAGCCCGCAAAGCCAGGGTCCCAGTAGGGGAGCCCCTGGCCAAGGCAGCAGGGACGGCAGATGTTGCCACGAGCATCTAGGTGAGGGCCGAGTGTTATTCCTGGGGGATCTTCCTGGGGATCAGAGAGAAGGAACCGGTCAGGGATGAGAATGGAGGGGTGGAGGGAAAGATGACCTGACTAACCTCCTGCTTGTCCTTAACTACTCATCCAATTTCCCAAATGTATCATCAGCAGCCTTGGGTTGTGAGTAACAGAAACCCAAATTCAAATGGTTCAGACAATACAGGAAGTTTTTATTTCATAAGCAAAGAAAGCTTGATGTATGATGGCTGCAGGGAAGGGAACTGGAAGGATTTACTACATTTTGAGATGCAGGTCCCATCTTTCAGCTCTGCTATCTTTAGGGCATTACTTTTTCTTCAAGTGCAATAGCTGCCCTTATGGTTGCAAGACTGCTGCTGAGGTTCCGGACATCACATCTAGACATGATATGCTTAGAGGTGGAAAAGGTGCCATTTTTTTCTTTGGGCTATTTTTCAGATTAATGGAACTTTTCCCTGAAGTGAACTCCGAAAACTTGCCCTCAGGTCATATTAGTCAAAGTTAAGTTACACATTCATTTCTTTCTCAGCTCTTGGTAGGGCCAGTGAGGCTTCCTTGACTGGTTGGGAAGTCAAGGACTGTGATTAAAGCTTGGGCTGGTGGAGGAGGCCTCCTCAGGTAGGGACCCCGCCACTACGTTTAACCTTTAGACCCTGTAGCTCCTCTGGAGAGAGGGATCATCTCTGATTCAATCCCAAGACCCTTGCTGAGTGGGGAGACCCTGTTTAATCTTTGAGGGGTTTGTTGGGGTGTAGAAGGGTGAGCAGGATTAGGCTATGGGATGGGGCTGGACTGGAGTTGGGGGTCCGGGCACCACAGCCTCCCTCATTAAGGAGTCAGGGAGACTCAGTAGGATTCACTGAGGTAAACTCTGGACCCAGTTGCCCTGGAGCTGGGCTACTGTGTCAGGGCTGAGGAGGCTGAGACAGGAGGATCCTGGACTCTCCCTAGCCTCAGATGGGCCTTGACTATGCCTGCGAGTCATGGGGGGACAGGAAGGAGAGGAGCCTCTGAGTCAGGAGTTACCTGGGGGAAGACAAAACCACAGGAAGTGAGCGAAAGCCAGGAGGAGGCAGCAGTGCCTGGAATGACGTGGGGGAGTTGGCCGGGGGCAAGGGTCCCCTCCCTCGGGCTGCTGGAGCCGCAGCCCTGGCTATTTCTGCCAACCGTGCTTCCCACAAACCTCCCCTCCTGTCCACCGCAGGCTGCTACCCACTCGCCCACAAACCCACTCGCCAGCTGTTGCAATCCCCCGGTGGGCTGGAGAGGATGTGGCCCAGGTGGGTGACAGGCGGAAGGTGGAGGTCGGAGCCCTGGGCCTCTGTCCTGTCCTCTGGGGTCCAGCTAGCAGGGAGGCGATAGCTGCTGTCTTTCCTGCTGTTTTGTATCTTAAGCTTTTTCTGAGATTTCTGAGTAGTAGCTGGGAAGAGACATGATTAAATCACACTCTGAAATTTTATTTTACAAATGTAAGTCACAAGATGTATAAATTCGAGACTTGTTTATGCATTTACCCTTCGCCTCTGTCCGTAATAGTGTAGACAGAAGCTTCCTAGCGCTCCCCTCCCCTCCGGTCTTTTGTTTGTTTTGTTTTGACACAGAGTCTTACTATGTAGTTCAGGACAGGCTTGAACTCATGACATAGCAGGAGCGATCCTCCTGCCTCAGCCTCCCACACGCTGGGATCACAGGTGTGCACCACCACGCCTGGCTTCCTTCTTTTTATAGCAGCATAGCAATTTACTCGGATGGGTGGTCTATAATTTAATTCCTTATGAATAAAACTGTTTTATTTTCCTTGTCTACTAAAAAAATCACAGATTATGCTGCTGTGAACATCCTTGTACATGCGTCTACCCTTGGGCATTTGTACAAATGCTTCTGTAAGATAAAATCCTAGATGTTAAACTGCTAAGTCTCAGGGTATAGGCACTGGAAATGCAGACGATAAGGACTAATTGCTTCCCGGGGTGCACTAATTTCCCTCCCATTAGCTTAGTGGGAGGCGGCCCACTCCCCCGTGCCAAGCCGATAAGCAAACAGTGCCATCCTGTTTTAACTTGTGTCTAAAGGTGTTAGAGAGACTGCACATGGGGTGTGTTTTTATTAGCTAGTTATACTTTTTGTGACTGCCTGTTTATATTCTTCTTCTATATTTTTCCATGTAATCATTGGTCTTTTGCTTATCGTTTAAAAAATATGTCTTTTCTAAATTGGGAAAATCAGTTCATTATCATCCACCTTGTGTTTTCCTATTATTCTGGTCTTTGCCCTTTAATGTCTTTCTAGTTGCACTATTGTTCTTGGGTTTTGTTCTATGACTAAGGAAGTTGTTACACCAGGATCCTAAGAACACTTGCACATCGTTTTTTTTCCCCCGGCGCTTTTATGGTTTTCTTTGTCCAAATGTTTTTCTTACTTTAAATCTTTGATCCTGATGGAATTTATTTCAGTGCCGGAGTGAGGTAGGGAATCCAGATTTATTTACTTTTGATCCAAATATCTGGCCAGTGACTCAATTTATTGAATTGAAATCTCATGTTGATTTGGGTGTCTTTAAAATCAATTTATTTATTCTTTAGAGTGGATCTGTCTGGGGGCAGTGGTCCCAGGCTCCTTCAGTGACTGAGGCTGTGTAATATTGTGAAGAATGATATATACACATAGGTTATTCCTGCTTGGTTAGTTTACTTTTTTTTTTCATCTAGGAGTTTTCTGGATATTCTTTTATACTATTTTTCACAGATGAATTTGAAGTGACTAAGTCGAGTTATCCCAAAACATCCACTGAGATTTTATACAGAAGCTCTTGAGTTTATAGTTTAATTATGGTGGTACAAGTATGTTCACAATATTAACTTTTTATTTGGGAACGGAATCTCTATGTTTATCTAAGGCTATGTGTGAGCTCTCCACTTAGATTTTACAGCTATTTCCACTTCTGCTTACACATTTAAAAAATGAGTTTTGTTTTTGTTCTCATGAATAAGTTTTTAGTATATTCTTTAGTTATTAGTATTTTGTATTTAGGAAGTCTTGTTTTTAAACTAGCTGCTTTGCTAAATTCAGGGATTAATATTAAAAGTTCTTTAGCTGGTTCCCTTGGAATATTCAAGTATAGAAGAAGGTCATTTTACCAGACACAATGATGTACGCCTGTGACTCCAGCACTCAGGAGGCTGAGGCAGGAGGATCTCACTGTGTATTTGAGGCTAGCCTGGGTCACGTAG